GCAAACTTTGAACCACAGTTCTCAGATCTCAGCCTCTTGAGGAGCTAGGATTACTGGTGGCATGAGCTATCAGTACCCAGCTCCCAGAATAACTTTCTTACTGTAATTTTCTTGCCTTCAGTGTTTTCTCATCTCCTTCAGTTCTTACATCACATAATTTGACTACTGACCACTCCTCCAACTTTATCAACCGTCTCTCTCTCTCCCCAAGTTTTCCTTGGTTTCAGCCAAGGAAAGCTTGTTTCCTCCCTTTTTACAGCCACTCTACTTCCTGATTGCTTTGCCCAAAGAATCATTCCTTCAGTTCTTCATAGAAATGCCACCTCCTTGGAGAGGCTTTCTCTGATCTTTTCATATAAAATAGCTTTTCTCACATGCAACAATCCTTCATTTTCTGACACGATGCATTATTCAGTCTCTTCATGTACTTAACTAAAATGATTTTGTTTACTGTTTATTGTCTGTCTTTTATCCCAGAATGTACGGTTCTTGTCCTCTGTCCTTAATGGCTGTGAGTTTCTGAGATGCCCAGTGAATATTTAAGTGACTGCTTGGTGTGTAGTAATAGGAAAAATAAGCAATATAATTGTGGCTAAAAATAGAAGAGTTGGCAGTAGAATTGGATAGTTCTTCCACTCCCTTAGAGAACATTAGCTTGTAGGAAATTATAGTTAGATATGGGGAAAAGATGTTCATAGGATGTAGTAGTATAAAAATAGTAGTCTTTTCCTTCTGACCTAGCTAGCTAACTTTGAGAAAGAAAATCTAACCCTTGGTGTTTTTTTTTTCTGTAAGTAGAATCAGGGTAGCAATATCTCCCAGCTTTTGTTTTTGTACTTGTGTGGTGTTTGTGTGGGTAGGGCCCTGCTATCCACTTTCTTTCCTCACCTTCCTTCCTTCTAAGACACCTTAATAATAAGTATTGTGCACTCAATATTTTTAAAATGATTCACATTATAACATCGGTACAGACAACTTAACTAAAAATATCTGGCACAATGTAAGGCACAAGGTGAACAGTCAGAGTCTTCTTTGACTTTAGGCTGCCTAATTGTATGTTAGTGTCAAATCTTCCTTGGGATTCTCAGGGCCATATATTCTTGCTTTGAGAGTCCCTTCCTGCTTTCTCATAGACTGTGAATTCTTCAGGCAGCTTCCCGTGGCATTTATCATAATGACTTATTCATAGCTAGTGTTCTATAAATGTTTGCTTAACATTCAGAATGCATTTATTAAGTGCCTTTTACATGCAGTACATAGAGTTAAACAGAGGGGAAAAAAAGCAAAGGAAATGGAAAGGCATATTCTAGTTATTCATTGGGAAAATCCTGCTCCCTTTAGAAGAGATGAAGAATGAAGGTATATCTAATATTATATATTTGAATTTATGAAAAGAAAAAGATGTTGGCACCATGGAATATAATAAAATAAATATGGAATGGAGAGTGAAAAAACCAGAAAAACATTGCATCAAGATATCAAGTAAAATTTTACTAAATCAAAATAGATTATGTGATGAAAATGCATACTATTCTATAACAGGATGTGGCTTCATAGCAGAAGGAAGGCAATTTGCACATGAAGAGAACCCTTATGAAGAATGTGTGGTTGTTCTAGCCATTAGGGAAACATTGCTGAGACATTTAGAAAGGGCCTGAATTCAGTAAAATTAAAATATTTAATGAATGTACCACATGCAAAACTTTTATGTATTACCATAAAAAACATGTTAGAAAAAGACATCAAAAATGAAAATAGGACCTAACCCTAGCTTTTTAAATTCCAAGTCATTTTCTTCAATAATAAACTTATCTTTTCCCAAGCAGTTTGAGGTTCATAGCAAAACTGAGAAGGTAAAGCGAGTTCCCATAAATGCCTGACTTCATATAGAGCCTTCCACTTGGACCAGAGCAACACATTTATTACATTGGAGCCTGCACTGACCTGTCGTTATCATCTTAAACTGGCCGTTTACATTAGGGTTCACTGTTGTGAGCCTTTATTCTGTGGGTTTTAGTAAATGCTTAACCACATGTGTCTACTTTAGTTATATCCTTAGAACAGTTTCATTGCCTTAAATTTTTTTTTCTCTGCTCACTGTTCATCCACTCCTGGCATTCACTGATCTTTGTTGTCTTTATGCTTTTTCAGATACTTCTTAGTAATATGCATTTAAATTTCTTCCATATGTCTTGTCATCATCTTCCTAAAGATGCATATTGTTCTATTATCTGGACATAACACATTTACTGAAAGATATCTTGAAAACTTCCAAAGTTTGGCCACAAAAGGTGTGATACTCTCCAAGCCAACTTCCATTCTTTGCCTGTCATTTAGCTTCTCTGGGGATCAGCTCCTTCATCTGTAAAATTAATCTGATGTTATCTAAGGATTCTGAGGTTTGAAGTTATGTAGCTAGCTAGATAAAAATCATGAGATCATGTCCGATTTTGAATGAACTCAGGTATGGTTGTAAATTTTAATGGTATTAACTATTGGTAACATCTTTTTGGTAGGGCCTGGTGTAATGTGATGCATATGTGTTGTCACTTGCTACTTAAGAGGCAAAGGCAGGAGGGTCACAAATTCAACGTTATCCTGGGAAAAGTAAGAGACCCTGTCTCAAACCAAAATACAAATAAAAGAGCTCAGTACATGGCTGAAGTGGTAGAGTGCTTGCAAGCATGAGGCTTTTAAGTTCAATGCTAAGTCTTTCTAAACAAAACAAAAAAAACCTCCCTAGGCTGGAAAGGTGGCTCAGTGGTAGAGTGTTTGCCTCACATGCATGAGGCCTTGGGTTCAATTCCTCAGCACCACATAAGCAGAAAAAGCCGGAAGTAGTGCTGTGGCCCAAGTGGTAGAATGCTAGGCTTGAGCTGAAGAGCTGAGGATAGTGCCCAGGCCCAGAGTTCAGGCCCACGACCAACAACAACAACAAAAAAAAAACCCTTCTGTTAAAACAGATTGGTCCTTTTTACACAATTATAACTTGTTCTTACTCTTTGCTAAGATCTCTCTCTTTGGGGGATTATCAAATCAACTGAAATGGAGATTGAAAAGTATGTTTTTTTTTCAGAAAAGAAATAATTTCATAGCAGGGTAATTTATAGAAGCCAAGTAAAACAGAATAAGACTGTGGGAACATGTTATATATACAAAGTAATTTATAAAATTTACAAAAGAAGAATACAAAGTAATTTATAAAAGGCTGAGGTAACTACTCTGACTGATATGTACCTAGTACCTTACTCAATGTGTAGTCTAAAAGTTTGCTACATATCAAAAGACCAGACAAGTGAGTTGAGAAGAGAAGTATTTATTGAGCATGCAAAGATGATAGGTGTCCCTGATCTCTGTCTGCTACTTTGGTTTGCTTATGGCTAAACTCAACTGGTTTGGTTGCTGCCTACTGAACTCTATACCTTTTTCCTAATGCTGGTTTGGGGCTTAGTCACGTGGGTCAGCCTCCCAGAGTGAGTGAAGGCGCTATAGCAAGAGAGACTATGTCCAAGTTTTTTGCCAAGAATCTCGTGGCTTATGCCTGCTGTATTGGTATAAATCTCCATAGTATCTTCTTTTATCCTCAGAAGTTACCATTCAGCTAAGGGCTTGACTTGCTGCTTAACTCAGTGTTACTTTATTAATTTGCTTAATTCTTTTTCAAGGTAATGAGCATCTTAAATCTATTGTATTATGAGCTTCAAAGATGGAGCCCTGTTACCAAATACCTTCAGGTTAAGTAATGCCTTTTTCCTCTTTCATCAGAAGTGCTCATAGCCCAGGTTTCTAGATCCCTTTCTGATTTGTCCCTGGTTGCATGTGAGGCTGAAGGGAATTTTCTCATCTAAGAACCCGTGACCCTACCAGGCCAACACTCTGGGTGTCTGGATTAGTGCTCCCTCAGTTACTTCCGTTAGGACACATGATTCCTAACAAGTCAGAAGTGTGGTATTTCCCTGTAAATACCTTCCTTAAAAAAATCTAAATAGGGGCTGGGAAGGTGGCTCAGTGGTAGAGCGCTTGCCTTGCATGCATGAGGCCCTGGGTTCGATTACCCAGAATCACATAAGCAAAAGGAAAAAAAGGGGGAAGTGGCGCTGTGGCTCAAGTGGTAGAGCACTAGCCTTGAGCTGAAGAGCTGAGGGACAGCGCCCAGGCCCAGAGTTCAGGCCCCATGACCGGACCCCCCCCAAAAAATCTAACTATTAAAGACTTTTTTCTTAAAATACCTTAATTTTAATAGCTCAAAGGTATCCATATTCCCACTAAGACTAGTTACGTAGAGCAGCAGCCCTTGCCTCAGTAGTAACTATTTCTTACTTTGTTGCAAGATATTTTTTTCTTTACCCAAGGTGTCTAGATATCTAGAGAGCCTTGCCATCTTTTAGGTTTACGCCCTCTCTTACTCAGAGGGTCAGAGCTGAGGCCTCTTATCACTGTCACCTGTGGTACGTGCACATATAATCATCCTACTCTTCCCTTTTTCCAACATGGGTAGGTCAAAACTGAGCACTTTACATTTGAACTGATAGTTGCCATTGAACCATGTAGCACTCTGATTGTTTCCCCTTTTCTTGCAGCATTTTATTTTTCCTGGAGTAGGAATTGTCATGATCTTGATTTGTTTCCTTTTCTAGTTATTACTCCAGAAGGTCACAGTTGGGTGTTTTACTTGTGTTCATTTTTTTTAACAGTATGTTCAACATGTATATCTTACTTTGATGAGTGGTCATTCTGCTCAGCTGAAATTTGACTGGACATAGTGCTGATCTCTCTCTCTTTCTCTCTCTCTCTTTCTCTCTTTTCAGCAGAACATTTGGGTAGTTAGAGAAGGTACAATATTGTTTAAAAATATTACTTGAACAAATAATGAAAAGTAACTCCTTATTATGGTTGTAATTTAAGATTAGCTTTTATTCTAAAAACGCAGAATATTTTGCCACATTTTATTCATTTTGTATAGAGCCTGTTGGGAATTGCATTTTACTCTTTCTTTTTAGGCTCTGAAAATTAGAGAGGTCTGTAATTGCCCGCCTCTTTCTGGACCTGACCCTCGATTACTATTCAAGCTCACCATGAAACATTTTCTTGAAGAACCAGAGAAAGAAGAGACAGATACCACCATTAAGAAACAGAAAGTAGATACAGTTCCCACTCAAAAGCAGGAACAGATACCATTAACATACATGGTGCAGAAAAGAACTGGAAGTTGAATTAAAATTTATGTGACTTGAGATTTGTGGAGAATACAGCAATTGTTACCGTTTTTATGTTACTTTTTAAAAAAATGATGCTTGAAATGAAAAAAAAAAGATATTCAGGGTTGAATCATGTATCTTACAGGTATTGCTAAATTCTGCTAGGTTTTTATTTTTCATGAAATATTGATGCATTTTAATCTATTTTAAAATACTTTCAATGAGGAAAATGTCATGGAATAAATTTATATTACACATTTTGCTGTCTGGTACTTGCTTTTGATTTGGAAGGCAGACACATGTGGATGGGGAGTCAGAATATGTAGTAACTTACTGTGGGAAAGCTCCTGCTGAGCCAAAACTGGATGTGAGAATCTGGGTGGCTATGATGAACTGGTAAGCCAATGGGCTGAAGGCAATCTGATGGCAGAAAATGGTTTACATTGGAGTGGGATTTCATGCAAAAGGGCACCATGAGATAGAGAATTTCCTAATCCTCATCTGTGGATGGCAAGGGACAGGCAACAGGCAGAGGTGGAGCAGACCATTTTTGTACAGAAGCACAGTTGTTGCTACCTGTGGGTTCAGAATGGAGAGAGAGACACTTCATGCTGTGGTGGAATGTTTCTGGGGGTCTTTGTTGAAAATCTTGCCATTTTTGACTCCTCAGCAGTATAACAACTTGGGATTCTGGGCTTCTCAGAGAAGATATCCTCTTTGCTCTCATTGAGGGCATCACCAGGAAAGGCAGAAGCAAGGTGCTGCCCCCAAGTTCCTCTCCCTGACCAGCAAGCATCAAGTGTACCAAGCAAGAATACGAGAAGCACAAAATGACACATCCAGTCACGGCCAGAAATTGCTGAAATTACCTAAGTGTGGAAGTAAGTTTCTAAAATATGAATTAATATTTGTACCCAATCACTCTTACTCAAAAACTGATGAAATCTAATGATACCTAGGTAACATTCTCAAGGACATTTTTCATTTCTTTTTTAAAAATAATTTTATTGTTACTATTAAGGTGTTATACAGAAAGGCTACCATTTCACTAGTCAGGTAATAAATACATTTCTGGTCCTTTTTTGGATAAACTTACCCTTTCTGTTGCTTTCTTCCAATTTCTCCCTCTCTGCCCACAGGTTACATAGGCCATTTCCTCAGTGTATATATACTCAACAGCATGATTTCATTTGTTTACCCTTCCTTGTTCCCTTTCTGCAACCCCACCTTCTTATCCAAACCCAAAGCAAAGACAAACACCACCACCACCACCACCACCACCACCAAAAACCCAATGTTTCCACTTCTTGGAGTTTGTTTCAATAAATTGTAAATCTTCAGAGAAGTTACATATTTATGCTCCTCCCCTAATGGTATCTTCCTTTAGTCTGACTGCATGTGAATATCTAGAGTCCTGTATAGGTTATGTCCAGTTACAGTTTAGATCTAGCTCCCATATATGAGAGAAAACATGTGTCATTTGTCTCTCTGAGCTTGGCTTAACTGAGTTAGCATGATTTGTTCTAGGTCCATCCATTTCCCTAAAAATGACATAATCTTATTCTTTGTAATGGATGAGTAAAATTCCATATGTATGTATATGTACCACATTTTATTAGTTAACTCATCTGTTGTAGGGTATCTGGGCTGTTTCCATAACTGTGCTATTGTGAATAGTGCATCAGTGAAAATGCATGCAGGTGTCTTCACTGTATCCTGACTTGTAATGATCTGCATCGGTGCTCAAGGGTGGTATGGCTGGGTCATAGCAAAGTGGAATGTTTAATTTTTTGAGGAACCTCCAAAAAACGATAACTACTTCTTCCAGAGTAGTTATACTAGTTTACATAAGGACATTTTTCTTAAATACCATAGTAAGTGAATACTTTCTAAGATAATTAAATGGGGAAAATTACTTTTCATTGACTACTACAAAATGGACCCTGTAATTCATTTATAACACAGCTTTATGAAACAAGTTTTATTTTCATTTTACACCAATAAACAAGCTTGGATGGGTTGAATAATATACTCAGTGTCTCTTACCTAGAAAAATCAAAGCTCTATCTGTCTGACTACCACAGGTTTCTAAAGACCAAGCTATCAAAAGACAAGAAAAAAATACTACATTTTCATTTGTTTGCCAGCTTCCTCATAGATGGCTTTAATAGGGATAAACATTTCATGATTATAAAATCAGAGGCCACTGTGTTGTCTGTAGAATGATTTAGTAGGACCTCCTCTCAGTCCCCTTCTATCACAAGCTTGAAAAGCCAGGGGTGGGGCAGAAGAAACAATGCCTTCACTTCCTGTGCATTCTCCTGAGGGATGTGTCCTGATGCTGTTCTACTTTGGATTTACCTAGTTGCTTTTATTTATTTATTTATCTTATTTTTATTATCTTTAAGTAGTTGTACAAAGGAGTTGCAGTTTATGAATACAGTATATCTTGATCAGTGTCACTTCTTTCAACACAAGTTCAGAGCCTGCTTATGTTTTTCAGGGCTTCTGATACATTGCTTATAAGCTATTTCTTGATCTGCAAGACAACAGTTATAAGGGGACATTGTAGCTATTTCCTAAATTGCAGTTCTTCATAGTGTTGCTGGTTAGACTTTTGTAAAAGGCACTCCATATCCTTTAAAGACATTTGGAGCGTGTCACCTAAGGTAAGTAGTAAAATGCCATTTGATTTCCCTACAGATTTCCTAAGAAAAGAGTGCAGTGGTGACCCTAGTCTGTTTTTGTTTTCTTCCATTCCATTGTCACATCTAATCATGTTGTTCAGATGTCTTAGAAAACATATACAAGCTGACATCATGTCAGAAAGAGCAGAGATAAAACAGATATAATGTCTTTACAGTGCATATGAAAAAGATTTTTTAACCTGGTAATCAAATATAAAAGAAATGTTACATTTCATCTTGGGGTTTTAGAAAAAAATAACAATTGAATTTAAGCTGTATGTGTGTATTTTAAGAATTATATAGAAACAACCTCTGCATATTCTGCTTTTAGTTGCAGATTTTTTTTTTGTTGTTGTCCCCTGCATTTTTTCCTGTGTCTGTAGGATTTAGATATTTAGATGTTGACTGAATAGTGCAATTATTAGGCACAAGAAACCAGAATATCCTAGGTACAAATGTAGTTTAATCTCTACTATAATCCAGATAGCTGTGAAACTATGTCCTTTAAAGGGGGATATACTGTGGTATATACATATCACATAATTGTTCTTGACACATTGTAGGCATGCAATTAATATTATACACTCAACATAAAAATCTGATCATAAAGATCTGATCATAAAGAAAAGAGAAACAGTCACAATTTGTGAAATTGTATTTTTAGGACCCTGAAGTCTTTAATCAGATTTCTTTAAAGATAAAGGTGGGATCATAAGCTGGGTGCTGGAGAATTGTAGTTCAAAGCCAGCCCAGGCAAGGAAGTTCATGAGACTTTATTTCCAATTAACTAGCAAAAAGCTGGAAACGGAGCTGTGTCTCAAGTGGTGGAGTACTAGCTAGCCTCTAGCAAAACCCTCACAAAACAAAACAAAACAACCCCCCCCAAAAAAAAAACAAGTAAAAGAGTGAAGCCCTGAGTTTAAGTTCCCCAAAACAAAAACAAAATAGGGGCAATGAATCTCATGGGCTGATGTAATAATTAACTGAAATGGTAAACTTAAAGCAGTTAGCCCAAATTGTAGAGTTCCAGGAATAGTAAACTAATGACCCTTTATTAGATGCTTCCATAGTACTGAGCACTAAAGCATTTTTCAAACACTATTAAATTAATCTGCAATCCTTTATATGATATATATTACACTACCCTCATTGTAAATCAGGATACCAGAGTTGAAAGGGGTAATTAAACTTGCTCAAGATCAAACTATCAAAAGACAAGGAACAAACCTTATTGTTCAGAACAGAAAATTGTCTGAACTCAAACTCAAATCAAGGAAATATATTGCCTCAAAATCCTATGCCTAATGGGTTTAATCCAAAGCAGTGGCTTTTTCAGTTTGTAAATTTCTCAGCTCAGTCTTCCCTGATGGTATCAACATGGCTGCCAGTAGCACCCTGAGTGACATGCTACATTTAAGTGGATAAAATGGCCACCTACCCATGGAAATACAGCCTTCAGCATTCAGTGCTTTGCTAGAGCTGTCACCCTGGCAAGGGCTGGGGTAATCCTGCTTGGTGTGGATGTCAGGATCCAACACTGGAACTGAGGATGGGTACAGTCAATACCGTTTGCTTGAATAGAAGGGCTACCCCATGCTGGGAGGAATGCCACCCTAAGGTCTATTCAATGAGTGGCAGGCCTAGAATTACCACCTTTTGAGATTGCTCTTTTTCAGCAGGCAAAGAAACAAATCAATTCCTTAAAGTGAAATGTCTGCAATGATGCTTAGTCTCAGCAAAAACAGTGCATAATTTTCACATTGCTATAATTTTAAGTTTCCATGAATCTATTGGCTTAACCAATTTATTTGCTCAAAACCAACTTGTGAGAATGGAGGGACAAAATGGGGTATTGTTTACTCATAGGGGAGAAAACTAAGGCCTGGATGAATTAGGCAAGTTACCAGAGTCTGCACTTCAAGTAAACGGCTGAACTGGACTTGGAATTACCTCATTCTTTTGAGAAGCTGGTATTACCTCCATTTTTTAAACCAAAGATATTAAGCAATGTGGGCTTGACACTACTCAGCCTTCAATGGTAGAGCTGAGATTCAAATCCTCATTTTCTGACTCCAAAGTCTTGTGCTTCTCATTCATTTACTGCCGCTTAAGTGGCAAATCTCATAAAGATAGTCAGGATGGAAAGTATGTTTCCTTCACTCCTCATTTGTAAATTGCAGACCCAATATCTTTTCCCCTTGTTTAAAAGCAGCATTTTAATACTCTATGGGGGAGGTAAAATAATCTATTTTAAGCATATTCATACATGTGGAAGGTTAAAATTCCTGTGAATCGTCTAATAATATATTTTAATTGGGCCTAGATAATTCTTTTATCTCTGCTGGAAAATATTTTTCAACCTTTAGAAAGACAACCCTGGTATTATGTCTCCCTATATCTGGCCCCTGACTTCAACCTACAATGTTAGGCCACTGATCCTAGCCTTCTATCCCAGAGACTCCTTCTCACTTGGTTCTGTTAGCAAGAATTCTTAAACTAACTCTGTGCTCTGTGCAGAAGGGTTGGAGTGTCTAGACTCAAAAATAGGGTCTCTCATTGACTGCTTAGGACTTC